AGCGGGGCGGAGCGGGACGGGGCGGAGCGGGGCGGTGCATGTCGGAGCGGGGCCGAGCGTAGCCGAACGAAACGGGGTGGAGCGGGGCGGGGCGGAGCGTGGCGGAGCGGGACGGGGCGGTGCGGGGCGTGCCGAGCGCAGAGGTGCGGAGACGACAGGGGTGGCGAAGCGTGTGCAAGGCGGCCGGCGCGCCGCTCCCCTGCTATTCGTTAGCCGCCCTCCCGTCCCCACCACCCCCTCTGTCCTCGCCCTCCCGGAGCTCCTCTGCGGCACCCGAGAAGGCCCGCGCCTCGCACCAGAGCCCACTTAGCGACGCCTCAAGGATTTTTTTGTCGGGCTTGACCCTCCGCCCGATTCCGTTCGGCCTGTATCGTTGTCCTGACGCTAAACTTTATGAGCCTCTAACGCCTCAACACGCAGCTTCGGATTCTTTTTTCACTTACAATAAAGAAATTATTATTTTAAGTTATTTTTAGCAAATGTGATGCTAAAGAAAAATGACGTTTGAGATTCATTATGCACATTACTGTAAATCCTTTACGGGTTTTTAAACAGAGATAATTTTTCTGAATTGCTAGTCATATATTCCAAAATAAAATATCAGAAAACCTTCATTATCATGCTTTGAGTTTTGAATTATGTTGTTCTTGTTCAATGATTCTTATATTATGTTCATTTACGTGTTCGGATTTCATTAACTCTCTGGTTATTATACCCAAGTTAATAATAATTCATGAAAGAGATACAATTGTTTTTATTGATTCCTAAATAGTAAAGAGAACTGCAAAAAAGAAAATAATACATAACCTTTACACTTTCACTCTGCCACTTTCGGAAATAATCAACTAACTTGCACGTAATGTTCTCGTTTAGTCACGTGTTATGTATATTATCCAGGCTTAATGATTCTCATATTGTTGATGGTTTGATTCTTGTATTATCAAACTCTGCGGATTAATGCATGCAAGTAATGACGTCAGTGAGACTCCAACCCCACAGTTTTAACCGCACCGCTCCTTCGGTCAGTCGCATTAAATTGTTGCGTAGCAACGGCAATAAATTTTCGTCAAACGTACAGGAAATATCGAATTCCCCGCCATTCTCTCTCGCTCCTATGTGTGTGGGGGGCGGGGGGCGCCGTGTAGCAGGGCTCACGTGCGCGCGTCAAGACCCGGCAGCGGCGCCAGCGAGAGATAAACCACGGCCGCGCCCCGATGCATTAATAGGTTCCAAACGCCACCAAGCCTTAATTCTCCCCGCCGGCACAGTTTGCGCCCTCCACACCCCTCGCGCCGGCTGCGATGCCTCAAAGGCAACATTCTAGGGTTTGAGTGTCGGCGGTGAATGATTTTTGACACACACTACAAAGCTGGATCGAATTTAACCATTATCTGAAGTAGAATTCTAGCGGTCAACTATGTACGAGTAGATCAGTACGAGTAGATCAGTACGAGTAGATCAGTACGAGTAGATCAGTCCGTTTCCGTGGTTTCTCCGATTAATACCAAGATGAGTGTTCGAACAGAACCTTAAGAAATGTCCCATGCAAAACATGTGTTCTTTTCGTCATTATACGTGTCCCCTCCTTTCTCCCTAAACATCTGTTGCACATAAAGGTAATATATTATCACCACGTCGGGAACTTAGAACTGTCCTAGCTGGGGGAGATATTTGGAGTGAAAAACCTCCAGCAACCTGAAATGTGGGTCGACGGAGGATCTCACATTGCAGCACGAACACCTTCATCTCTCGGAGTATAAAATGCGCACACCTACGGCGACTAAAGACAATATGATTTGACGCTGAAGATGACTGCGCTAGATTTACAACTGTTACTAATTCAAGTCAGACACTCTTCATGTGAGCTTTGCTTTTTTTTTCAAGAATACAGCTTACTAGTGTATTCTGTGTATTACTAGTGCATAGTGTCTTCCTTTCATTCAACCGTCATTTGCTACTCAAATAATTATCCGTCATCCCAGTCTTAGCAAATTCACAATAACGCATTTTGCTGTAGTATCTACTTTTTACCATGATTTTTTTTTATTCTACTGGCATCATTCGCTAAACAAATAACCATTCGTTATTGAGTCCGTCCTTGGGTTAGTTTATAATTAAGCGGAAGTGACTAGGGATCATAATGATAAATAAACACTTTTCACTCCTCGCCCTCGCCTCACGCGTGCCCTTCCCGTCTCCGCCCCTCGCGGCTTTCGCGGGGAGGGCGAGGAAATTCGAAACCTGCGTATTTCAATGTCGGGTCCCGAAATTTCACAAAACAAGCTGGAAATGTATTCGATATTTATGGAGCGCTCTGTCAATGTTTGCGCGTAGCAAACAGCGCCGGGATGCGCTGCGCCGGACAAAGCGCGCGCGGATGCCGCTTTGCGTCGCGGTCGCCCTCTCACCCTGCCACGCCCCCTCCCGCCCTCGCCCGCCCTC